ATTCTATGTAAGTTCAAATTCAAATAATTATTTTAAAAAGTATAAAATAAAACTTAACAGTTTAGATAATTGGAATAACTTTGTTTTAATTATTCAAATATAAACTAGAAAGCTTACGAAAGGTCTATGACTAAAAAAGGGTAATTGGAAATTTGGAATAGTGGAATGATTATTTAAAGGGATTTAAATAGAATCAATAAATCAATAAAAACAAAAATTAAACTTTTCCTTGGAAAGTTGGAATTTTTAAACAATTACATTTTTTTTTTGAACTTAATCTCTAACTCATGAGATTTTCTATGATGTTGAGTTAACTTTTGAGTTAACAATTTTACAAATGTCATAATTCTAAACTGTAAATCAACGATAACACATTATAACTCAAACTACATTTAAAAAAAATTAAATTAATTCATAATTGATGACATTTTTTACTTAACTATGGGTGTAAATCGTAACCGTATAATTTTTGCTGAATTTCTGCTGAATTGCTGAATTTGTTGAATTTTTAGTGATTTCTTGCGAAATTTGCTGAATCTGCTAAATGTGCTGAATTTTTGAAAAAGTAATTAATTAAATAAATTAATAGATCGATAAAACAAATTTATATACATAATTTATGATATAATATTTTGCTATTGAAATTGAATTATTTTTTAATAAACCTAATTTTAAAATATTACAATATTATTTTAGAATTATCAAGCAAATTTAGTAAGATTTAATCACACTACATATATATTTAAAGGACAATTATAAAAATTCACTTTTGGTATGTACATTTGCAAAAATTTCAATATGGGTTGTCCTTATGAGAGTTTTTTTAATAATTTCAAAACGAAGCCGTTTTGAAACTGAACGGATAAAGTAAACAGTAGTTAATGGATGTTAAAATTGACTAATTCTATATCTAATTTGGCCGAGTCAACCAAAATTATGTATATTTTTTACTCATTAGAAAGTTGGTATTTATTTTGGCTCAAAACGAATAGTTCGGTATTAAAATGACAGTTTTTCCGTTGTCCATTTGTAAAAATACCTCTTATTATG